GTTTCCCAGAGAGTAGTTGTCTTTCATTGTCCAGCCCGGCAAAGTCAAGCCGATTAACGACCTAGCCTTGAGAACTGACAAAGAAAGAGTTCGAGGGCCTGCAACTGTAAATCTTGGTAACTACTCACTTGGCAAAGTGGTTTCATTTTTTTAATGGGTTTTTTTAGAGCAATTTTAGGTTACACAAAAATTCCCTAGAAAGTTTAAGGGTTTTTCATACTTCCCCATCCCCAACTGTCCCTGTTATTAACAACTTGTATTTATGTGGTACATTTGTTAAAACTGATGAACCAATATTGATACGTTATAAAGTCCATAGTTTACGTTAGGGCTTACTCTTTCCAGTTGTATATTCTATGGGTTTAACAAATACATCATGTCACATGACCCATCATTAGAGTATCTCATAGAATAGTTTCACTGCCACAAAAATCCCCTATGCTCTACTTATTCATCCCTCCCCTCCTCCTAACCACTAACTGTAAAAGAGAGGAAAGAAATCATCGTGTGCCATTGTGTGTTATACCTTGATTACACTAGATTAGTTAATCCATGTAACATCCCTAGGAACGAGGTAAGTACTGTCCTCATTTTCCCGATGAGGAAGCTGAGGTCCAAGTATTTAACTTACCCAAGGCCACAACATAAAAGAGGGGGTACAGTCAATCCACTTAGATCTGTTTTGAAAAACAGTAATTTTTTCTTCTTCATTAATCTGCAACTGAAAGTAAAAAGGTAGATGACATTAAAAAACAGAAAGATAAGCTGGTCTGCTTTATTCCTAGTACTCCAGTTCTTTGTTTACCACCACCAGTATCCTCTTTTTAGAGCTAGGAGGGACACTTCAAATAAACACTCTGGCTTGCTCTTTCCATGAGAATACTGTATAACGAAAGCTGACTCAAGAACCATCTTCCTGAAATACAAATACTTTCCACTACACTGAAGCCTGCAACAGACTGTCACAACTTATTTTATCTAAGAAATAAGCTCCCTGTTGATACATGCTTGAGAAAGACTATGTACAAAGCCTCCAAACTAAAGCAACAAAATATTATTTGAAATATTTAATTACCTACACATTGTAATGTCCACATCATCTTAAGAAGACTCTTCAACATATATATTATATCTATAATATATATGCTATCACAACATTAAAGACTTCATCTAAATAACTAGAGGAGTTTATTGCAACCAGAATCATTATTTTATTTCTGTAAAACATTCCAAAACTAATAGGATAATTTCTAGAAAATTTTTAAGAAAATACAACTTAAGCCAAGCATTGGGCTATGTACCTTGAACATTTTATTTAATTTACTCATATTACAAACCTATGAGCTTTATAGACCCTAATTTTTCCTTTCTATAATTTGTCATGTTGTAGTGTGTCTTGCATACTAATTGTGATATGGCAGAAACTTTCAAAAGAACCCGAACAGTAAATGATAAAGTTCTCATTCCTGACTTCCAGCTAAATCTTCAAAACCTGTACACATACATGAACTTTGCACGATTATCCATTCCAGTCCTCTTCTCGTCTTAGAAAACATGAGTTTTCAGACTGTGCAAACACACCAATCACGTAAGTAAACTGCAGCCATGACACAGCCACCTTTCCTGCTCTCTGCCTCATTCCTGCCTACAACGTCCTACAGTCACATGCCCTTCTCCGCCAGCCAAAGCCTTGGTTGACCCCAGCCAAAAAAATTTTTACCTCTCAACATTCAAAAGTAGCAATGATAGTTCTAAGTTCCTGTTATCAATAAGTGAAGAGACGACACACAGGTCTAGACTCAGAGAGAAGATAAAGTGGGTTGGCCAAAACAAGAATCGGGCAAAAATTAATATTCCCACCGTTTTGTCGTGTATCATGCATTGGTGATTTTAGGCAACACAGGGAAAACCACTATAGTTTTATATGTGCCTATAAACATTTATGTCCTTTTCTTTGGTTTACAATCCCACCCCCGCCCCCATCATTTCTTTATTTTGAATTCATGTCAGCCAGTTGTGACTATTTTGACCTTTTGGGATTTTTTAAAAATCAAACTTCAAGTTTCCAATTTTGTTTAAATGCAACAATAGGTAAAGTGTCTATGCATCATCATGACACTACTGCTAGTCAAACTCCTCTCAGGAAAGAGGGCAGAAATTTACTACCAAACTTTTGAGAAAGATCCTCTTACGATAATGAAAGTCTTTGAGTTAGCAGCAATAATTGCTATTTGATGTAAATTAATGAATAATAAACTTTGATTATCTTCAAGATCTTCGGATTCCTTCATAATCTCATATACCACTCTGTGCCCTTTACAAGGCAGACATTTTGCCAACAGCATTTCACTCATGACTAATCTAAGCCTAAGCTTGTACCTGAATGGACACTGAGGTTGCATATTTATTTTATCATAGCTGCAATTCTGAAAGCTTTTGTCGAAGGTTTTCAAGGTTAATCCCATTATACTCTTTGTGCCTGTTGATTTTAGTTGCCACAAAAATCCGAAGTCAACTCTCACCTTCAGGTCTCTAATTCCCATAAGGCTCTGGACATGCCATTTTCTGGCCCACCTCTTACCCCATTCAACACCCGAAATCTTTCCATGGTGCCCTCTGAGACTCAGTCATCAGTAAAATTGCCTTCTCTCAACATTTCCTTCACTTCTTGCTTTAAAACCGAATCCACCATGCAGCCCGTTCCTCTGCAGCCCAAACTCTACTACCGCTAGGCCACAGGTGGAGAAGACATTCTTGCTGCTATTGCTCCTTGCAGACTATTGTTCGTCCCTCCTCCATAACATGCCCATTTAAATTTTATGACATCAAACTCCAGCACTCCCTGTCCCTCAAACCACCCCCGGGGCCAGTATCCACCCACCTCCGCCACCACCACCATCCCCAGCCCCCACCTCCTGCCATTCCTTGAAGATTTTAATTCCTAACTCTCTGACACTGTCTCAAACCCTATTCCCGTCATAATTCCCAGCTGACTCCAGTGTTCACATAAGTGATCCATCTAATACACTGTCGCTTAGTGCCTTGACCTCCTCTCCTCCAATGATTTTATCCTCCACCCTACTCCAGCCACTGACACGCACATGGCCATACCTCAGTCCTTGCCACTCCCAATAACTATTGTCTCTCAATCACCTCCAGTTGGAGGCATTCTAGTTTTATGACCATTATTACCTTTCTAGCTCACTTCCTCTCTTTGGAAACTGGAAAATTTCAACAACCCTCTGACCCCAGCAGAATTTACAATTCATGTATTCTAACATCTTTTCATTGTCTCTCAGCCCTAATATCTTAACTTTGATCTTTATCTACATCGTATGGTCAAGCACAATCACTCTTAATCAATCTGCCCTTCTGTCTTGTTTCCCTCTAGTCTTCCAAATATCTTAACGTTGGAGTGCTCAGCTTGAAGCTATTTCTCTTCTCCTATCTACACTAATTCCCTTAGCGCTATCAATCACTCCACAGTGAGCAAATTAGAATTGCCAGACCTGCTTTGGTTTAATGTAGAAGAAAAGATCTGAAGTCTTGTAGAGGCTGAAATGTTAGAGTGGATTTGTCATTTGAAGACCTACATTGGGAGGGTCCAGACAACATACCTTTCATTACTAGTTGAGAAATAAATTTGTGAGGGGAGCCCCAACATCTTTGAAGAGTTCAGTGATTTTTCTATAGGCCAAACCTTATAGTGAGAAACCGAAATGCAATGGAGTAATTGGATCCTGGGGTGGTAAGAGTGAAGTGGCAGCCCTCCACTGCCAAAAGCAAGTTGGTATGGTTACCATAATCAATGGCAGAGTCAAAGCAGCAAACTATAAGTTGGCTAGTTGATCATGGTGTTCCTAAAAGTGAAATAGATAGAAAACCTACTAAATTCTTACTTGGTCAGTATAAGTAGAAAATTTCCAGGTCAAGTGAATAAAAGTCTAGTGCGAAACATAAAAAGAGAGAGCATGGCCCCTCAATCAATTCCCAGACTTGACTCCGTTTATGGACCCAGAACTCCTTAAATGAAGGAGAGGCTAGGTACCCCTGAGGAAGGACCCCAGTACGCTGCCCCAAATTTATACTGTTAGTCTTTCTCCCGGCCTTTCCTGAAGTCACCTACAATCTTTTGACAGGGTAGAAGGCGGTGAGGGGAGTAATAATTAGAGCTTCCAGGGACTACTGGACACTGACTCTTAACTGACACTAATTCCATGAGATCTAAAATATCACTGTGATCCACCAGAGTATGGAGGCCAAGTGATCAATAAAATTTTAGCTCAACTCTGTTTCACAGTGGGGCCAGTGGGTCCCATAAACCATTCTGTATTTATTTCCCGAGTTCCAGAATTAATAATTAGAACAGATGTACTCAGCAACCAGCAGAATCCCTACACTGGTTCCCTGATCTTTAGAATGAGGACTATTAAATTGAGAAAGGCCAAGTGGAATCCATTAGAACTGCCTCAACCTATGAAAATAGTAAACCAAAAGCAACACCACATTCCTGGAAAGACTGCAGAAATTAGTGACATAAACAAGGCTGTGAAAGATGCAGTAATGGTAATTCCCACATTCCCATTCAACTCACTTATTAACCTATACAGAAGACAGATGAATCTTGGAGAATGACAGTGGATTATCATAAGCTTGACCAGATGGAAACTCCAACTGCAGTTATTCTACTAAATGTTTCATTCTTTGAGCAAGCTAACACATCCCCTGGTACCTGGTATGCAGCTATTGATCTGGCAAATGCTTTTTTTCTCCATATCTATTAGTAAAGGCCACCAGAAGCAGTTTCTTTACAGATAGCAAGGCCACCAACACACCTTAGCCTGCCTACTTCAAGGGACCATTAACTCTACAGCCTTAATTTGGGGGTCATAATTTAATTTACAGGTGTCTGATCACTTTTCCTTCCACAAGATAGCAATGTAATAGACCATTGGACCTACTTATTGGACCTGGTGAGCAAAATGTATCAACCACTCTAGAGTTTCTGGTAAGACACTTGGGTGTGTAGATACACTACTCTCCTTTTGAAAAACAGATCTTGGGCCTTAGTAGAGACTGAATACATAGCCATCAGCCACCAAAATACCATGTGACCTGAGTTGCCCATCATAAACTGGCTGTCATCAACCCACCAAGCCATAAATGTGGTATGTACAGCAGCACCCCATCATCAAATGGAAAAGATATCTTTGTGATAGGGCCTAAGCAGGTCCTAAAGGCACAAGTAAGTTACCTGCAGAAATGGCTCAAATTCACTCCTGCCACACTGCCTTCTCTCTCCCAGCCTGCAACTATGGTTTTGTAAGGAGTTGCCTACAATCTATTGACAGAGGAAGAGAAGACTCTGGCCTGGTTTACAGATGGTCTTGGAGCAAATTTCTCTGGAGGGCTGTATATGCTCTGAATCAGCCAGCATCTGATATATGGTGCCATTTCTCCCATAGCTAGGTTTCCAAAGTCCAAAATTAAGGGGTAAACATGGGAGTGATACCACTTACTGTTATCTCTAGTGACCTGCAACCAAATTTTTGTTCCCTGTTCCTGTGACCTTTTGCTCTGCCACCTTAGAAGTCTTAGTTCCAATGGGAGGAATGCTTCCATCAGAAAATAGAATAATGCCATTGAACTGTGGGGGTTAAGAAAGCCACTAGGCCACTTCGGACTCCTCATAACTATTAATCAACAAGCAAAGAAGGGAGTTACTGTGCTGGCTGGTCTGACTGATCCTACTATCAAGGGGAAATTACACTGCTACTCCACAATGGAGAGAAGGAATGCACTCTGTCTGGATTACAAGAGATCCCTTAGGGCATCTTTTAATATTCCCATGCCCTGTGATTAAAGTCAATGGAAATCTACAACAATCCATTCCAGGAGGGACTACTAATAGCCCAAACTCTTCAGGAATGAGGTCTGAGTCACTCTGAGAGGCAAAGAACCACAATCAGCTGAGGTGCTTGCTAAAGGCAAAGGGAATACAGAATAGTGGGAAACAGTAGTTATAAACACCATCTCAAACCACATGACCAGTTACAAAAATGAAGACTTTAATTGTCATAGTATTCCTTTCTTATTTTGTTATGAATGTTTGCATGTGTGATATATTTGCTTAGTTTATAACAAAAATGTTAGTACATATTAATCAAATATTTTTGTGTTCTTTCCTCTGTTGTCTCCTTATAAGACATAACATAGTATTTAAGTCCTGTTAATTTTTCATCGTATCATTTAAGTTACAGGATATCAAGGAGAAGAGTAAACATCACTCAAGTACTTTACCTCCTCTTCTGCGGAAGGAGTTAGTGTTTCTGGTTTTACATAGGATAGTTAGGTAAAATTATGATCTAGTTATCGTCTTTATTTGGAGATTTAATATGTAAATATGATTCAAGGAGATGTGTATAGGTGCCCAGTTGATGGTTAATTTTATGTCACCTTGACTGGGCCATGGAGTGCCCATATATTTGGTTAAATATTATTCTCTGATGTGTCTGTAATAACGTTTCCGAATGAGATTAACAGTCAACTAAGCAGACTGAGTAAAGCAGATTGCCCTACCAATGTGGATGGGCCTCATCCAATCCATTAAAAGATGGACCGAATAGAACAAAAGACAGAGTAAGAGAGAATCCATGCTCTCTGCTTGCCTTCAGACTTGAAATGGAACTCTCCTGGGACTCCAGCTTGCCAGATACAGATCCTGGTACTTTACAGCCTCCATAACTGTATGAGCCAATTCCTTATAAATCTCATATGGTTCTGTTTCTATTGGTTCTGTTTCTCTGGAGAAGTCATACTAATACAAAACTATTCCATCACCACAAAGAACACCTTCATGCTATTCCTTTATATTCATACCCATCCTTCTCTTTCTCCCTTGCCTTTCCCCCCAACAACCACTAATCTGTTCTTCATTTCTAAAACTTGCTTATTTCAAGTTTATTATATAAATGAAATCACACATTATGTGACTTTTGAGATTGGCTTTTTCTGCTTAACATCATGTTTCTGAGATCCATCCAAATTGTCATATCCATCAAGGGTTTGCTCCTTTTTATTTTGAGTAGTATTCCATGGTATGGATGTGCCACAGTTTCTTTAGCCATTTAGCTATTGACAAACATTTTAGCTGTTTCTAGTTATTGGCTATTACAAATAAAGCTGCTATGAACATTTGTGTAGTTTTGTATGAACACAAATTCTCATTTCTCTCGAATAAAAACCTACTTCAATTGCTAGGACATAAAACAGCTGCATATTTAACTTTTAAAAAACTGCCAAACAGTTTCCCAGAGCAACTGAACCATTCTGCATTCCTATCACTAATGTACAAGAGATCCAGTTTCTCTGCATCCTTGCCAGCATTGGTACTGCTATTTTTTATTTTGGCTGTTCTAATAGGTGTGTAATGATATCTAGTAGTCTTAATTTATTTTTCCCTAGTGGCTAGTGATGTTGAACATCTTTTCCTGGACTTATTTGCCATCTGTATATCCTCTTCAGTGAAATATATCTTCATGTCTTTGCTCGTTTTTAATTGAATTGCTTAATTTATGCAGATTTTCTTTAAACAATTATTGTGATAAAATATACATATAACTTACATTTTAACCACTTTTAAGTGTACATTTCAATGATATTGAGTACATTCATAACATTGTTCAATCATCACCACTATCCATTTCAAAAACTTTTTATCCTCCTAAACAGAAACTCTACACAACTTTATTCAAGTTCATAGAGGCAGAAAGTTAAACTCTATTCAACTTTCTGCCTCTATGAACTTGACCTCATACAAGTAGAATCATATTTATCTTTTTGTGTCTGACTTATTTCACTTAGCATAATGTTTTCAAGGCCCATCCATGTTGTAGCATGTATTTCATTTCTTTTTAAGGCTGAATAATACTTTTTATACACTTAAAATTGTATCTCCCATATTTTGTTTACCTATTCATTTGTTGATGAATATTTGGGTCATTATGGATATTGTAAATAATGCTGCTATGAACATTGGTGTACAAGTATCTATTTGAGGCCCTGCTTTCAATTCTTTTAGAACTATACCTAGAAGTAGAATTGCTAGATCAGATCATATGGTGATTTTAACTTTTTGAGGAACCATCAAATTGTTTCCCACGGCAGATAGACCATTTACATTCCCATGAGCAATGCATGATTTCTCCACATCCTCACCATTTATTTTTCATCTTTAAAAAAAAATAATAGCCATCTTAATGCACATGAAGTGGTATCTCATTGTGGTTTTGATTTGCATCTTCCTGATGGCTAATAACATTAAGCATCTTTTCCTTGTGCTTATTAGCCATACATATATGTTTATCTTTCTTGGAGAAATATCTATCAAGTCTTTTGGCCATTTTCGAATTGGGTTTTGTTATTGTTGAGTTGTAGGAGTTCTTTATATATTCTGGATATTAAACACACATCAGATATAGGCTTTGCAAATATTTTCTCCTATTCTGTGCATGGTCTTTTCACTTTTTTGATAGTGTCAGTTAATGTCTTTTACTATTGAGTTTTGAGAGTTCTTTTCTATAGATACAAGTTTTATCAGATATCTGATTTACAAATATTTTCTCCTGATCTGTAGCTTGTTTTTTTTCATTCTCTTAAAAGAATCTTTCACTGAGGTTTTTTTCGTTTTTGTTTTTGTATATGGAATACCACGAATTGGCGTATCATCCTTGAGCAAGGGCCATGCTAATCTTCTCTGTATCGTTTCAATTTTAGTGTATGTGCTGCTGAAGCGAGCAAAAACCGTTCTTTATTTTAACAAAGTCCAATTTATCTATTTGCTATGGTGTCTTAAGTACTCTTACCAAACTCTAGGTCCCATTTTTTTCTTATATTAATCAAAGTGTTATGGCTTTATGTTTTACATTTAAATTTATGATCCATTTTGAGTTAACTTTTCTATCAGGTGTGAAGTTGAGGTCAAGGCTTGTTTTTTGCCTGTGGATAGCCAATTACTCCAGCCCCGTTTGTTGAAAAGGGTATCCTTTCTCCATTGAACAGCTTTTGCACCTTTGTCAAAATTCTGTTGAGCATATTTCTGTGCTTCTATTTCTGTAGTCTAATCTGTTCCATTGATCTATGTCTATCCCTCTGCCAATAACACACTCTCTTGATTACTATAGTATATAATAAGAACTAAATTTGGGTAGAGTGATTCCTCCTACTTAATTCCTTTTCAAAATTGTTGTCATTATTCTGGTTTCTCTGCCTTCCATATAATTTTAGACTAATTATTTATCTACAAGAAAAGTCTTGCTAAGATTGTAATAGAAATTTTATTAAACCTGTATATCAATTTGGGGATAATGAACATTGAGCCATCCAATCCATCATAATATGTATCTTCATATATTTTGTTCTTTTGTTCATTCTTCTTCCATCAGTGTTGTGTTGATTTCAGTATGAGTCGTGTACATGTTTTGCTGGACTTATACCTAAGTTGCTTTGTTTTCCAGTGATCGTGAACAGTATTATATTTTTTATTTTGGTTTCCACATGGTATATAAATGTTGAATCCCTATATTATACATCCGAAGCTAATATAATACTGTATTCCAATCATACTTTAAAAGGTAAGCATAGTAATGAAACAAAGTGGTAGATAATCTAGAATTGACTCCATGAGGAGATGACTTCTAAGCAGAGACTTAAATTACAGGAGCCAGAGAAGAAAGTTCCGTGAGTACGAAAGCCTGAAAACTTGAAAGAGTTTGATCTGAGGAAGAACCATAAGAAGGCCAGTGTGGTCTACATAGTAAAGAGGAGAGTAAAGGAAGACTCAAGAGCTGCTTCATATAAGGTCTTATCAATGGTAGGCACCTGGATTTTATTCTAAATAAAAAGGGAAGCATGGGAGAACTTAAAATAGGGTAGTGAGATTAGCCTGGTGTGCCTTATAAGTCATAAGGAAATATTAACCCACCTTTCCAAAGTGGTTGATATATTTCTAGTTTTTCCTTACAATTAAAATTATGTTCACGTACAATTCTTACTATACATGAACATATACTACATAAAAGGATTATTTGTAATTACTTTACATAACGGTTTATTATCATAGCTCTTTCTAACCTAAAATGAGTCTGCTTTCGACGCTACAGGGTGATAAAAATATCCTAGGGGAAAGTTAACTTCACAGTAGAGCTGCTGCAGTTGGCCAACTCTAACCACTGCCTTTGGAAATGACTTTTCTCTTTGCTCATCACAAACAAATAAACATAAATACACACTGCACACGCAATATTTTCACCTAATAGCTATTTAATTAAGTGCTCATTCATTATCTTATCTATAAAATAAAGCTATTAATGTCTACTTCCAAAAGTCTGTTTTATGAACTAAAGATTAAGTATAATATATTGAGTTTCAGGCAAATAGAGGGTGTTTAATAAACGATAATTCTCTATCCTGAGCTTTTTCTCTTTCAACCCCATCACTTAACTCCCATTCCCAGATCTAAATCTACAAAACCATTTAATTAGTAATTGGGGCCTTAGACTAAATCTTTTCACAAAACCCGAAAGCCTGTAGCAATTACACTTACTAATCCAATGATTAGTGGCAAGGCATACTGAAACAAAACCCTTCCACAGACGTTTCTGAAAAGTTTAAAATGCTGAACAGAAACATAGTAATCTATATAATTTTTAGTTATGCTATACAGTAATTGAAAGCCGATCACTTCCAATTTAAATCTTAGAACCGTGAGATCATGTACATTTTTTTTTTTAACCGATGGCAAAAGAAGGAAACATCCTTTGAATATTTTGTGATAAAAACCTACTAAATATTTTATTTCATGCCTTTATCACTCAAGGAGTACTTTAGAAATACTGTCATGGTGCTTTCGTACACCTAAAAGCATGAAATTATGTTATCTGTATTATACAGACAGAACAAATTCTTTATGTATCACTCAAATGTATTTTACATTCAATTTCTGAAGACAGTAACAGAAAGGGGGAAATGTTATTGATTATTCAAAGTAACTGACGATAAATGCACGAATCTTAGGAATTTAACATGAGTACAAGTATGACTGCATCCGCGCTCCTTTACTGCAATCTTCAATGTCAGCATACACACATACTAAATACTGTGAGATTTTCACCTAGTTCTCTATTTTAAAAGTACTCTTTAATATGACACAGGCATATATACACCTGCATTTCATTTTCTCACCTGTAGTTCTGCAGTAATTCTCCTCCCATTTTGGGGGGCAGCTTATAAACTTTAGATATACCAGAAAAGTTCACTAAAAAGATACTTGCTAGACAGAGGCTTAATGAAACCACCTTCTTCTGATACTGACCGTCGTTAAACGTAATGCCGCCACGGCCAGTACAGTCCTTACTTTATTAACTACAACGGAGAAGGAACTCTCATTTAAGAATCCTAGCTCATTTCTTGATGAATGAGCCAAGACCTTAAACGATTTATTCTCAATCCGAGTTTTTAGGTTTTCTCCTTACTTTCTCACCAAGTGCTAGCATTTTCAAACCTTTCTCCTTCACAAGAGTTTACATAAATAGCATTTTCTCTGACTTTCGCGAGTCACCTGACCCAGAACCTACAGAGATCAGGAGGTAGAAATCCTAGAGTCGAGGCCACCTCCACCGTGCTGGCTTCGGCCGCTGCTCTCGCAAAGCCGCCTGTGACTCGACACACGAACCCCAATGACGCAGGCGTCTGCGCGCGACTCGACTAGAGACGGCCGCGCCTGCGCAGCAGCAAAGGGGCGGGGTCCGAGCGTGACCCGGAGGGAGTAGCGAGTTTGCGCGCAGGAGGGGACAGGGGAAGGAGGAAAGGATTGGGGAGGGGCGGTGGGAAGGGAGGAAAGGAGTGTGGAGGGGAGGAGGGAGGAGGGTGAAGAGGGAGGAGGGGCGGGTCTTTCCGGAGAGTCCTACGTCCTTCACTTCCTGTTTGCTGGACTTTCTGATTCCGGGTCAAGCATGTTCGCCTCCTCTTCTCCCCGGCTGATCCAGCAATCTGGGTGACAGCGGCTCCACAGTCAGACCTGGGCCCGCTTCGTCTCACGATCTGCTGGATCCTGGACCCCCTACACCTGCCCAGGACGCGGAGGCGCGCTTCCTCCACCTACCGGATCGCAGCCCCGGGCCCTTAGCGCCCGCTGCCGCCGCCGTCGCCACCGCCGAGGGGTCTCGCTGGCCCCTCCGCGCTGATGCTGAGAAGGACCGCGGGCCCGGGGTGGCGGCCAAGTGCGGGCCTCTGGCTCATTAGATCTGTCGCGGGCGGTGCCGGTTCTTACGAGCCCCAAGCTTGCTATCTCCGGCCCGGGCTTGGATGGACACCCCTGCCCGATAAATGTGGCTGTTGAGGCAGCGGTGGCGGTGGTCGGTCCCGCTGCTGCTGTGCTCCAAGATCACCTCCGCCCCGGGGCTCTCCTGTCCCACCTTGGGGCCGTGGCCGCCCGCTCCCTACTCCGCGGCCTTGCAGCGTGGCGACAATGGACAAGATCCTGGAGGGCCTAGTGAGTTCTTCGCACCCTCTGCCCCTAAAGCGGGTGATTGTGCGGAAAGTGGTGGAGTCGGCGGAGCATTGGCTAGACGAGGCGCAGTGCGAGGCCATGTTTGACCTGACCACCCGGCTCATCCTGGAGGGCCAGGACCCCTTTCAGAGACAAGTGGGGCACCAAGTGTTGGAGGCCTATGCACGGTACCACCGGCCCGAGTTCGAGGCCTTCTTCAACAAGACGTTCGTGTTGGGTCTCCTTCAGCAGGGCTACCACTCGCTGGACAGGAAGGACGTAGCCATCCTGGACTACATTCACAACGGCCTGAAGCTGATCATGAGCTGCCCGTCGGTGCTGGACCTCTTCAGCCTGCTGCAGGTGGAGGTGCTACGGATGGTGTGTGAGAGGCCGGAGCCGCAGCTTTGTGCCCGACTGAGCGACCTCCTGACCGACTTCGTGCAATGCATCCCCAAGGGGAAATTATCGATCACCTTCTGTCAGCAGCTGGTTCGAACGATAGGCCACTTCCAGTGCGTGTCCACTCAGGAGAAAGAGCTGCGAGAATATGTCTCTCAGGTGACAAAAGTGAGTAACTTGCTGCAGAACATCTGGAAGGCGGAGCCCTCCACACTGCTGCCTTCCCTGCAAGAAGTTTTTGCAAGCATTTCTTCTACAGGTAAGTGTCATTATTTCCTAAGAAAACCTCTCTTTGAAATTCATTATGTCTCCCATACATACACCGTGTTTGCTTCCTTACTTTGATAATATTTCTAATGGGAGCAAATCTTAGTACCCTCATCCAAAATTTTATTCCAATCCACTACCCTATTCAGGTTGTCACTTTGTACCTTGAAAACGGGCCATGTTTTTCTTTTAAAGGTTGAGAACGTTGAGATGTAAGACCTTTGGCACTAAACAAGTTGCTTGATTACTCAGCCTCTGCTCAAGTTATGGAATGCTTTGAGGATGACAGCTACTACATAAACTTCTATTTATTAGTGACTAATGGTAGCGTAATAAGGTTTCTTATGGTACTGTGACCCTATTTTTTTGTAATGAGTTTTCCTCCTGTTTTTTTAAATTTTCCCATTCTTTTATTCATGGACTGTGCAGTTTGTTTTATTACTGGATCATCCTAGTAACTGTGTAGTTTTTAAATATTGACATTTTCTGTCTGCAGTAGTGTTCCTGAGAGAGGATGCAGGTAGAGTGAGGGAATGGAAAGAATATGAGGACTTACTTAGATAGGTGTTTTTACACTGGGGACATAGCCCAAGAACCGCATCCTTAGAAAGCTGGGAGGGGTCAAGTGATAGATACTTGGGGAGAAAATGCTTTGTCACCTAAGAATTTTACCTGTGCCTTTATATTCCTTGCTCTGAACTGGAGCTTCCAGCTCTATGAGTTGTGAAACAGTAGATCCAAAACTATGTTCTCTTCCTCTTTGCTTGGCACAAGCATTCTCCCTGGCCGTTGTTGGAAATCGAACTTGTGAAGAAAGCGTCCTTCTTTATCTTGTGAACTAGAAATAAGAGTAGAGTTTTAACAACCTCCATGCATAATGATGAATTAAATAATTTATGAAAGAAATATCAATATGTATTTGCGGTATCTGAGTTAATTTTTTTTTTTTAATTGCAATTCTTCTTGTATTGCCTATGTTGCTAGAACTGTTAGATTTCCCCGGAACATTTTCAAGTGTAACAATAAAGGTGTTCACCTTGGATTTGCTAAGTTTTTATATGGTTTAAGCCAAGTCCCCCCTAAATTCACTTTAATTTCTTCTTTAAGAGATTTTTAAAATCTTCTTTAGAGCAGCGTAATAACTCCTGTAATTAATACTTGTAAGTTACTTTGAAGGGTCTAAAGTGAGAATTTAAATAACTTTCATTTCTTACTACTGCTTTACAAATGAATATTTTAGCACGGCAATAACTTAATATTAAAGAATGCAAGAAAATAAAGTAACTTATGGACTAAATATGGCAATAATGAACATTGGTTTTTATATTGCAGTAGTTCTGCCTATAGAGTGAGCAATCATTGCTACTCCCTCTTGATCTTTAATTTCTATAATTTAACATTCCTTTTATGTTAGAGTCTACCCATGAGGTGGTACATAACAACTGCTTCCTGATTAACACCTTTGCTGCAATTACTTTTTTTTTTCTTTTTGGTTAAGTGTTCTCTCTAAATGTTTCACTTGAACCTTCTTGCCATATTCCTTTTTCTTTTTAATTAAAAAAATAGATGCGTCATTTGAACCTTCTGTAGCATTGGCAAGCCTTGTGCAGCATATTCCTCTTCAGATGATTACAGTTCTCATCAGGAGCCTTACTACGGATCCAAATGTAAAAGATGCAAGTATGACCCGAGCTCTTTGCAGGTACTTCTTCGTGACGATATAGATGGTAACTGTAGATTTGAAAGGAAGGAGATATTTTGTTGTATGTCGTCGAAAACTTTAAGGGAAGTGTTTAAAAGTGAAATCATGGAATCAAATATGTAAAGATTCTCCATTGGAATGAATTGTTTATCTAACGATATGCTTGACTGGCATCCCAGTAATTCACAAATACATTTTCAGCTTTTTTTAATTCCAAAAACATGCACATATATACACTTGCTGTACAGTCAAGAGTTGGTTGGTTTGTCCATATATTTTACTAATTTCTTTGCTCATTGTTTCTTGTAACCTATTTCTTCCCTCTGGGATCTTCCTTTTTTCCCTAGCTAAGTTCATACTTTTACTTTCTCTTTAAGTTGAGATCTCTTTGTAATTCACTGTTTAGTATTTGTCTGTTTGAAATGTTTTTTTCTCCCTTATTCTTATTTTCTTCCATACTCTTATTATTAAATAATAACTAGTCCTGTGACTCCATGCTATTAGGGTCTTCTTTATATTATCTGTTTTTATTTCCTTTTCCCTTTATTTTAATCACTTTATCAATTCTCATTTATATGTGGTTGATTTCCAAGTCTTTATGTAAAGTCTTCATTCACTTACTTTTAAGAAACACTCTTATCTCCTCCATCTCTCCATAACGAAACTCCTCCTGTGTCCTGTTTAGCAGCAACACTTTTTTGTCAGTAATAGCACGAACATTTCTTTTTTTTTTTTGAGAAGACTATATCATAAATTATGTTGCCCTCTGGGCAAAATAGGAAGATTCAGAGAATTATAGATTTTATGAGTGAAACTGAAATTAGAAATAAGTTGATCCACCTTCACTGCCTAGGGAATAATAGCTAACATTTTGATTGCATGCCATACCCTTGCAACAGAGTCTTCTAGTTGGTCTTTTTGCCAGCAGTGACGTATCTCTCTTCTCTAAGTCATCCTGACCCACTCATTTTTCCCTTCTGATCAAGAAACAATAGTGATTTCCACCACTTACTAAATCAAGTGCAAATTTCACTTCTTGGCATTTAGCACTCCTGGTCTTAACTTTTAGTCTTTTCAAAATAACCACAGTATCCAATTTATGATTTTCTTTTGTTTTTAAAATATATTTGGAAATCAGTTTTTACCTATTTGTTTCTATGGAAAGTTATGATCCAGTTTTTGTATTGCATTTCTAAGTTAGATTCATAATCCTATTTAACCCATAATCTTCCCAGAGTAATTATTCTATATTACAAATACAATTGACGAGGATAGCTGTGTTTATTTTTACCACATCCCCAACTTATACTTCCTCCCACATAAATAGCAGTTACCATGCTTTACTATCATTTTCTGTAATCCAAGAATGTGCAGATGCAAATATCATACCAGGACCAGATAAGTGACATTAAAGCATGAAATAGGCCAGGTGCAATTGAATATAGGAAATGGGGTACACGAGCACCCTATAAAAGAGAAAGGTGATCCTCAACTCCAGCTGTCTTGTTGCCGCAAGGAAATTTGCGTTCAGTGTTGCTGATCTGATTTTTCAAAAGAAGCCTGAAATCCATTTTTTTTTTTAATGTGAAATTTCCAAATTTTTAAAACATTGGAACAAATAAAACTGAAGGCTGGATATCTAGCCCTGAAGCTGCCATCTAAAAATGAAAAGTGGTTTTATTCTCTACAAATTAAGATTAAATCTGTTTTGTAGCCTTTTATAATATTTCCAATTTTAACGTTAAGTACTTCAAGTTGCATGTTTTTTTTGGGGGGGAGTGGTTTTTGGTTTGTTTTTTTTTGGTTTTTTGGGGTTTTTTGGTTGGGTTTTTTTGTTTGGTTTTTTTTAGCTGTAGAAAGAAAAGGTGTATGAGGTTTATGAAATGGGATGCTGGAAATAAGGAAGATAGCGGAAAAGGCTGATTGGGCGATTAGGGATAATGAAGAGACACGGCCAAGTGGCATTCTCT